TAGTCAAGCTCTTAAAGGTCACACACTCATAAAGCTCTTGGAAATAAAAAGGCAGGAGTGAAAAGGAGAGCTCTGGGAAGAGAAGCTAGAGAGGGAAGTGGCTCCCCAGACCTCAGGACCTGCTGGCGGCTCTGTCCCCGCATAGTGCCTTGCTGGGTGTGGGCAGACGGGCTCGCAGGACGGAGAGGACAGGGAGCGAACCAAGTCATATAGACCCAGTGCAGATGGAGTGAGTGTGAGATGATAAGGGAGAAATCTCCAAGTGCTGGGAGTGGACTTGTAAATAAATCATGTTGAGACAACCGCACGGCCATTGGGAAAACGGGACACAGCGAGGGTGGAGGGCCCTCCTGCCCTGAAGGCTGAGTTCTTCCCTCTGCCCCCCCAAAACATCGTCAGGGCAGGATCTGGATGCTGGACGAGCCCCCCAACAGGTCACAGCCCCGCCCCAGCCCTGGGCAGGCTCCCCTTTTGAGAAGACGGTGCTCGTGGCCGGGGTTAAAGTGGGACCCATGGGTACGTCTGGAAGTGCACAGTCCCTGGCCTGCCAGACTGGCCAGCAGGACGCCGAGTGTGAAGCACCAGTGAACGGAGGCCCATGGTCTCCGAGAGGCCGAGGACCAGCCCCTTGGGCAGGGCGCCCGGATCCCGGGGTGGGAGGCCCCGAGGCCCCGTTTGACCGGGCAGGGCTTTTCCTCTCTTGCAGATCAACCAGCCCCTCGATGGGGAGCGACGGCGGCCTACCTCCGTGTGTCACCTGCCCGCCTCCCTGCAGCCAGGAAAGGAGCGCCGGCACTTGTTCAGTAATGACGATGGAACTGGTATTAACTGAATGGCACTTACGGATTTTTAACTCTAACTCACAGTAAACCAGCAAAGCCATATGTTGAATCCAACCAAAAATCGTTCTGTTCTGCTGCGTGTCTCATCCGATTGTGAGAAGTTTCGAGATACCTGTTTGGACAAAGAGGAATATAAGTATTATTACTTGCTGGAGGAACACACTGAAGCAGAAAGAGAAGCCGTCTTAATTTATCCTTAAAGATATATGATAGAATTATTTATATAGATAGAGTAAACAGATATATATATTTTTTTGGTGGGAATGAAAATGGCTCCGCAGAATGCCGACTCAGAATCTCTGCAAGTTCAGGAGTTGCCGGTGCCCCTGCCGGACCTGCAGAAGCCGGGGAGCGTGGAGGCGGAGACGCACGATGAGACCGTCAGCGAGGGGTCCATAGACCGCATCCCCGTGCGCCTGTGGGTGATGCACGGGGCTGTGATGTTTGGCAGGGAGTTCTGTTACGCCATGGAGACGGCGCTGGTCACGCCGATCCTGCTGCAGATCGGTAAGTGCCGCCTGGGCTTCCACGGGGTCCTGGCCCCAGGCCTCACACACCCGTGAGTGTCGGCACATGGAGCACTGCACGCTGGCTGACGGCAGTCCCCCGTCTCCTCTCCCTTCAGCCTCCTCCGATGGGCTTTCCCCGTGTCCCCTGGCGGGGGTGGGGTGGGGTCGGGTGGGGGAGGTCCTCAGATGCTCTCGTGGAGTCAGAGGTCCCAGCCAGCTGGTGGCTGGGCGTTCGGGCGTGTGTGGAGTCCCCAAGCTCTGGCCCAGCGCGTGCCCACCTCCCCCGAGGTGCCTCCAGACACGGCCACCAGCTGGGTAAGCCCTTGAACCCCGCTGCCCCTCGCTCGTTCGTAAAGTGAGGTCAGTCGCAGACGGGCCCGGGTTGTTGGGCAGGAGACACGCCCGCACTCAGAATAGGGCCTGGCTGTAGGAAACACCAAAGAATGCAATGTGTGTTTGTTTACTCTCATCATATTATTGTTATTATCGACTTAAATCTGAGTTCACTGTGGACTTTAGGTGGCTGAATGATGGATATTTCCAGAAATACTCGGATTCTCAGAGGTGACACTCAGGTTAGCATTACTAAGCCTGGTGTATGAAAACGCTGGCGTCCCTTCCAAATTACCACCGGGGGTGCCTTAGGCCCTAAACATGTGGCCAGGGTATTTCATTTTCCCCGTTGTCTAAGAAAGTTTTAAAATCTGTAATTTTCCAACTGGATAAGGGGCCAAACTATTTAGAAGCATGTTTCATTCTAGAATTCCGCATGTGTCTAGTAAAATATTTAAACAATCTATTTATTTTGGCTGTTACAGGAAAGTTTCTCTGAACATGGTAAAATGTTTCTTGTTCAGAGAGCACAAGCTAAGGCCCAGCGTGGTGCAGATCAGTTGGAGAAGCATGCGGCCCCTTCAGTTATGAACAGGCCCCCATGCTGGCGTCAGGGCGCTCTGCAGGCAGACGCACTTGGGCACTTCACAGCACAGCAGGTGCCGTACCTGTCTTGTCAGGCACGTTAATAAAGGACCAGGCTCGTCACTCTTAGTGTTTAGGTTACTATGTTTCAACATGTTTTCCCTTTGGCATCCCGGGTGTTTTATTTTTTATCTTTAAAAATATGAGGCCTGGGCTTCCCTGGTGGCACAGTGGTTGGGAGTCCGCCTGCCGATGCAGGGGACACGGGTTCGTGCCCCGGTCCGGGAGGATCCCACATGCCTCGGAGCGGCTGGGCCCGTGGACCATGGCCGCTGGGCTGGCGCGTCCAGAGCCTGCGCTCCGCAACGGGAGAGGCCCCAGCAGTGAGAGGCCCGCGTACCGCAAAAAAAAAAAAGAGGCCTGAGAAAGTGGCCCAGATGAATTAAGAACCTTTTCTGGAGAGTTGGGGGTGGTGGAGCGTGCACCACGTGGGCCACTCTTTGTTCTTTCATCCGTGTGTTGATCACCTCTCATTTACCCTGCTCACCTTCCTCTGGTGCCCACATGTGCCAGGCCACTGGGGGTGGATAGGGCGCCATGTCTGTCCCCGTGCGGCTTAGTCCTCGTGCTGGAGGTGGGGGAGTGACCCGCCTTTGCTGCGAGGAGAAGAGCTGGGGTGAGATGCCGGCCCCCCAAGGGGTTGGGGGACCCCCTCCCGGCGGGCTGGGGAGGCCTCTCAGGGTGGGCGGCTCCAGGGCGGCAGTGAGGCGAGAGGCTCGGAGACCACCTTTGTGGCCAGACCTCAGGATGGGGTACATCCGGTGGCAGTTAATCTTACCAAGCATTTATTTTGTCCCTTTGATGTGCAGGGATGCGGGTTCGTGGGTTGAGGCCTTAACGAAAGCAGTGTGGCTAAGCTCATGTGGTCAGGGTCAGGCACCGTTATTGAACTTCTAGATCATCTCATCATGGTTATGGTGACAAATACAGAATTCAGAACCTCTGATTACTGAGAAATAAGTTGGTACAATTGGTAGAGATTTGGGAGCTCTTATTTCCACATTTCCTTGGTGATAAGTTATGTGTATTATGGCTCAAAACCCCGGAACCAACACAGCTCCTTGGAACTTTGACACTTTACAGGTTATGAGTCTCAATTTCGACACAACTTACATTTCATTGTTTGGTTTTGAGTATTTCGTGTATTACATGAGACTTGTATCTATCTTAGGTATTCCAGGGTAATATGTATTATATATTTTACTATATGATACGTAGGCTAGACATTAAATGTAGCTTTTGAAAGTTGCAGGTACGTCTGTTCCATATAAACATCCAGAAATGGTGATGGAAAGAGGAAGGATTGTCATCACAGGTGGCCGTGACAAACTGACCCAAAGGGGATGAAGGTGACCCTTGTCATTGACCCTAAACACTGCATAGGTCATGGTCATGGGCAGAGCAGGACTGTGGACAGAGGCTGTTTGCACAGGTTAAAGGAATGATGCTTAATGAGAGTTGTTCCTAGATGGGCTTAGATTGCAAACAGACAACAGATGGCCAGTGTATTTCCCAGGGTTGTACTTTCATTATACTCTTAGGGGCAACGTAGTAATCAGAATTTTCTGATCTGAGTCAGAGCTTCTTAAAGTTGTCTGTCACACCCAGAGGTGTGGTGTTTATTACTGGATTTTGTATATTAATAATTATTAAAGCTGGAACAGTATTCTCCCACTCAGCGTGGACAGTTTGATCCCCTTGCTAGACAGATGTCTGTAGTTGGAACCAACACCAAAGTTAAGACCAGGAATATTTTCATTGTCCCAGGAGGCTCCCTAGTGGCCCCTCACGTCAGTCCACCTTGACCCCCAGTCACCACCTGCCCGCCTCTGTCATAGTTTTGCCCTTTCTGAAGTTTCTATAAACAGCATCACACAGTCCGTGGCCTGGTTTCTGCAGTGCTTTTGTGATTGAGCCATCCATCCTGCTGCACTGACTACTAGCCCACTGAGTGGACCCACCCCGCTTTGCTCTATTCATTCACCAGCTGATGGACATGTGGATTGTTTCCATTTGGGGGCTGTTTTAAATAAAGCTGCTCTGAGCATTACCTGCAAGGCTCTATGTGGACCTGTGTTTCATCTCTCATGAGTAGAGACCTCGGAGTGGGCGGCTGGCTGTACAGTAAGTGCCAGAGTTACTTTATAAGAGAAGACCGTTCCCTCCAGCCTCCACATCCTTGACAGCACTTGTGTTTCCCTAATGAATATTGACTCTCAGCAGCTTTCCATGTGCTTAGTGGGCATCCGTGTATCTTAGATGAAGTGCGTGTTCACGCTTTTTGCTGATACTTTAGTCAGGTTGTTTGTCTTCTTAATGAGTTGTGAGAGTTCCTTATTAAAGAGTCCTTTATCAGATATGACGCCCTTGGGCGTCTAGTTCTGTCCGAGGGATGATCCTGTCTTGCACGTCTCTTCTGCGGTGAGTGGCGGTTCAGATGTGATGACGCGCAGCCCGTCCTCGGGCCAGGCTCTCGTGGTCAGTGTGTGCGTGTCCTCCACCCCCGGGGAGGCTCCGAGCAGCGCCCACAGCGCCATCGTCCCGTCACTGTTCCTGCAGGTCCCCACCCTGCCCTGCCCCCTTTAAGGGCAGGTTCAGACGGGCTCACCTAGTGGCCCGTGCCCAGGGGAGGCTCACTGTGTGTGTGTGGAAGGAAAGAACGAGTGATGCACCTTAGATGCCAGACATGTCCACGTGGCCTCGTCAAAGCCCGGACTCCTGGTTTCCTCGGTCCCGGACAGCCTGCCCCGACCCGGGCACACGAGGCCTCTGGACCTGCTGGCGTGTAGGACACAGAAGGCCTGTGGGGAACTAGGGAACACTAGGGTCAGTGCCCACCCCAAACGGAGCTAATATGCATTTGCCTCTCGTTCCAGTTTCACGTGTTTGCCCTTTAAGCGGATGTGGCCAGTCTCCGTTAGAGATGCCCAACCACTCAGATGAGGACACACATAAATACTGTGGAGACAGCATTAGTCACCATCCCACGTGAGGAAGCAGAGGCTGGGTGGGCTGGTCCACCTGCCTCGGGGGAGCCCACTGGGAGGAAGTCGGGTGTGTTTAAACCTTGAAGTGTCTGGCCCGTGTTTCAGCTTCAGCATCCTGGCAGTGGAAGCTGTAGGTTTCACTGTTTGTTACAGACCTTTCTGGTTTGTGGTCTCACGGCCACCCGCGAATAGAGCCCGTTTCTCTGCTTGCTGTGGCAGGTGGGCTGCGCGGTGAGCAGGGCTGAGGGAAGTCAGTGGTTTCCGCTTAAATCCCCAGCCCTCGGCCTGGCCCCTCCCTCCATCTGCATTTCAAGTCCGCTGCGTTGAGGACCAGGGGGGTCACAGGCTGGGAGATGGGGTGCCCTCCACCCCACAGTGGCCCGGCGGGAGGATGGATAGGGGTGGCGAGCGGTCGCCTCAAGGTGGTGCTCGGAGGATACACGGAGTGTGCAGGCCCCGGGAATCATGACCGGTTCCCATGTGCTTCTGTTGTCCCCAGCGGGCACCGAGGTGGGGAGCTCATCCTCTCCCTGCTGGCTCCACTTCACGGGGGAGACACTGAGTTCTGAGTCCTCCTCCGGGAGGTGAAGCACATGCCCTAAGCGGGAGGGAACAGAGCCCCACGTGGTCTTGGTTCTGAGACCACGGAGATCCTGACAGCTTTGGGTGCTGGGCCCCATCCGGGGAGCGCCAGGGTGCGCCTCACCCGCCGGCAGCTTCCCTTCCCCTGCTTTTGGGAAGGTCCTGCCACATCCCCCCTGCGTGGTTCTCCCCAGTGGCGGGGGGCCCCGCGTCCTCCTCCGGGAGGTGAAGCACATGCCCTAAGCGGGAGGGAACAGAGCCCCACGTGGTCTTGGTTCTGAGACCACGGAGATCCTGACAGCTTTGGGTGCTGGGCCCCATCCGGGGAGCGCCAGGGTGCGCCTCACCCGCCGGCAGCTTCCCTTCCCCTGCTTTTGGGAAGGTCCTGCCACATCCCCCCTGCGTGGTTCTCCCCAGTGGCGGGCGTCCCAGCCCGTGGCCGCCCATCTCA